ATAAAAAAAATATGATTTGATTTATCTGAATAATGGGATGAAACTAGCACCCTCTTTTAGTGACGTCCAAATAAGTTTCAAATTCATAACTTTCATTTCAAAAAACCTAGAACTGCCAATTTTTATTATTATACTATTAAAATATTTTTTATCAATGAATAAATAATAGAATTGCAATAGAATTGAAAATTGATTTGCCCTGTTTATCGGACGTTTCGATTTGCAATTTGCCTTACGAGAGACATGTCAGAAACCCTGACTTGTTTCTCAGAAAATAATGTATTTGCACTTTTTAACTCTACCGAAAAACATCTTCAATGAGTTACACTCAATTAGCGAACAAAAACAAAAAACTTTCAATAAGGACCCACATTCTTAAAATAAGGTTAGAAGTTTTGACTTACGTCAAAAAGTCTGACTTGTTTCAAGAAATTCTGACTTATTCGTCAAAAATTTACGTAGGTAAACTAAAACCTATATTTTATTGTTGTTGGCCTTTCAACGCTTTCATAGTATTACCACTAGTCTGTACGAGGGCTGCCTTTTATATCACGGGATTTTCTTAAACTAGTCACGGCACGTGGCAACTAACTTTTTTATTGGGAAGTTTGACATTTTCAGGTTAGGTGTACTCAGTTAGGTTTTGGCGAAAGAGTTTTGTTTGTGTTTTTTGTGATAAATGAAAAAAAACTGTGACGATTAAAAACGGAACTTATTCGTGCAATAATTTTTTACAACTTTAGGCGAGGGCTAAACAACAATGCGTCGATGAACTTAATTCGACTTTTAGAGTTAAGTCGTGGTCGTAGTTTTCTTAAGGATGAATTTCGTGAAGGTCGTCCAAAATCGGTGGTTGCCAAAGAAAACAAAGATGCAGTGCGGAAACTGATTTTTCAGGATCGTCATGTAACCATGAGATTTGGGCATTTGGTCTTTGAGAATGAGACAAAGCCCACAAAAGTTGTTCGTGCGCGAAGCACCTCGAAACAAGTGGTAGCTGGTTTTTTCGGGAAAACTGGCCACGTTGCAACTGTTTCTTTGTGAAAGGTAACGCAGTCAATTCTGAATGGTACACAACCATTTGTTTAGAAATTAGAAAAACAAACCACCTAAAACGAAACACTCTCCACGACGACAATGAGCCATCCACCATATAGTCCTGATTTAGCACCTAATGACTTATTTTTATTCCCATACATTAAGAATAAATTATGTGGGCAACGATCTTTAACAACAGAAAAAGCGATTGATGCGTTTAAAAAGCATGTTTTCGAGGTGTTCCAATCGATGTGTGAAAAGTGCTTTGATGATCGGTTTTATCGAATGCAAACGTGTCTTGATCGTCGGGGTGAATATTTTCAGAAACATTAAAGTCATATTTGCTGGTAGCTTATAGTTTTTTTATTACAAATCTCGAAATATAAAAGGTAGCCCTAGTAGTATTTTTAAATTTGTTGTTCCCACCTTTAAATACAGGAAATAATACTCATTCTTTAAAGAGATCTGTAAATGAACCACTACAACAGGTGCTGTTTTTTGCCATCTAATATCAATAATATCAATAATTACTTGGGCTGCCCCGCGTCGAGCGTGTCCCAGACCCATAAATTTAAATTTCGTCTTCGTCCGCGGAGGACGAAGGGGGATAATATGGCGCTATCACCAGGACGTCGGCACCGGCTGGAAGGACGCTGGTTAATTCGTCCAGGACCCCGTGAATGTAAGCGTTCGTCTACCCGCCCATAGCCGAATGGTTTTTTTTTGTTGTCGTTTTTCTCGTTTCAAATGCAAAACGGGTAAAATTGTATGCGGAACGCTGGGCGGAGGGGAGGCATTTCCATTTTGTGCCCCGCCCCCCCTTTGACATGCTAATAAACGAAGTTTCGTCCTGTTTACTCGACGTATGATAATTCCGCAGATTTCGTTATGCGGCGTTATGACGGTTAGTCCCGCGTGAAATTCATTATTTTCGTGATTTATTTTTCGAAGTGGCGGAGAATTTTGAGCTTTCGTTAGGACGCGCACTGGATATTGTGGGCAAAATACAAGATACTATGGTAACTTGTATTATTTTCATACTATCCGTGTTGTCCCAAAAGTCAGAGTAATGTTTTTTTTTAATAATATAGTAATAGTCAGGAACGTTAACGACAATCTTTTGGACTTAGTGTTCGCACAGGATGGCGGAAGTATCAGCCACTTGCAGTGTGACTCAGTACATTTCAATAGTTCTGGTCTGGGGTGACGGCCATATTTTATTATGCTTTTTAGACCACTTTATATTATCTTTCACCAATCTTTAAAACTCGGCTATAACTCGCAAGTCAACAATTGTTACTATCCTGAGATGTATTCCTAAAGTGTTTAGGTTTAGTCTGCGACTATTTATGTGCTGGCCTGAAAGGTTGCTTTATCGAACCACAATTTGGATTTCTCCCCATCGCTGCACTGAGCTAAATTTGCTTATTTTTAGAGATTTTCTGCTGGAATCATCGGAAGAGGGGTTTCACGTTCATGCCATTTACACATACTTTTCAAATTCATTTCATAAAGTAAATCATCAATCATCATTAACCCAAAAATTGCAAAACATTGGAATCCAGGGAAAACTTTTGGAATGGTTAACATCACACCTTATTGTGTTCCGCAAGGATCACACCTTGGCCCTTGCTCTTCAATGTCTATGTAAATGATATTACCTCATGTTTTCATGAAGCATTTTGCCTATTATTTGTTGACCTAAAATTCTATATGAGAGTCCAATATGCTGATGACTGCATAAAACTCCAATCCGATTTAGATCACCTATCGCTACGGTACGATTTTAATGGAATGGAACTAAATATTAATAAATGCCAACTAATGAACTTCAAAAGGAGCAGAAACTCCATAAATGATACTTACAACATAAATAGGTTCATGCGTCCACACCTGGATTATTGTTCCTGTGTGTGGTCACCTTCGTATAACGTCCACATACAGACCATAGAAAGAGCGCAGCGTAGGTTCCTGCGGTATATAGCATTTTAGGAGCACCAAGGACTTGAGGACGACGATTACTCGGAATTGGAAATTTCTTTCCAACTTACATCTTTCCAGAGTTCCATCGTACCAAAACCAAAACTATCAGAATTATTTTCTTACTAGATCAGCCGCACTAGCAAATCGCTTTTCGGACGAACTTGACTGCTGCAAGCGTGCAAAAATATTTAAGAAGAACTGAAAGGCTATCAGTGAAATTGTTCCGTTGGGCGACTTTTGAATAGTGTTTAACAATGTGTTGATGCCTCGCTACTGTTATATGTGTTCTTACTGCGGTGTCGACTGTTATATTAATAATAATATTTAGGAAAACCAATTTTTGTCATCCTAGGGTTGGATATTCTTTACCTATCTATTTCATTTTGTTTTATTTTTGTTTTATTTAATTTTATTTTGTCTTTTACTATTTTCTTTATGTGAATCTTATTTTAAATTGGCCGGTTCGGTAAATAAATATAACGGGTGGGCAAATTTGAGGTTATAAAGTAAATATGCAACAATTAATTTTAATTGCGAAAATTTACCATCAAACAATTCAAAATTTTCAGCTTTTTCTCTTTAATATCAATCAACTAATTAATCACAGATGAGGCCTATTTGCCCGACATCATATTCCCTTATTAATTCACATCTTTCTACTTAACCTCAAATTTCGCCATCCTTTATATCCAGAATACGTGTGTGTGTTTCAGTACGGTTTTTGATACCTAAATTTTAAAGTTTTTTTTTTTAATAATTTGACTTTTTGAAAAATGTTATGTAATTTTAATTTGTCAAGTAACAATATATCATATTTTATTTTCCAATTTAAAAAAAATCCATCTCATACATCTAATAACAACTTCAAGTGTTAGATACATTCTCAGCACATCACCTTCTGTTATCAATCAGTCTAAGATAATGCTAATAATATATAGATGGTTTTCCTTTTCTTGATAATAATGAGCAATTTCCTTTCCTGTTGTGCTCTTCTCAGTATTTCGCAGTTGCTAACATGACTAGTCTCCGTAAGCTCCACATTTTTAACGCATCTATTTTATTTATGGTATTCACCTCACACCCGTACATTTTTATGTTTCATGTTATTGAATGTCTCTAAGTTTCAATTTATCCAAGTTCCAAGATATTTAAAGTTTAATGATTTTTTCATTTATTATCATGCTTGTCGGAGGTTCATATAAATGGCTATATTTTCCAAGACAAAGGCTCTTGTCAAAATGACACTCTTAAAATATTGAGCATTCTAGTATCGGGCCGAGTTGAACGGTACGGTATTTATTTTAAAGGAAAATGGGCGTTTGTAAACAAGGAGCAACAAAGAACGAACCACTAGCTTATACTACGAAGTAATTAAACTGTATAAGCTCCCATTCCGTTTAAAACAAATACTTATTAATATAATTTAGCGATACTCTTAATTTTCTTGCAACGATGCTGGAGGACTGTAAGTGAATCTACATTGTTTTTGTTAAATAGTGAAGCAGAAAATCAGAACTTTGATGCATTTCTAAATAAAATAAACAATATTCAAGGTAATTGAAAAGTAAATTGCCTGTTATTTAAAAAAATATCATGTATCGTTTAAATTAATCAAGTTATAGCTACCTAAAGTTGATATTAGATTAGGATACCTTTTTGGCCACCCTGTATAAAATGGGGAACCTTTTATAAATGAGTTATAAAAATATGGTCAACCAGCACAAGGATAAGAAAGTCGAACGCAAAGTTTTTTTATTTCTTTCAAACCAAAAAGAATTTATATTTTACGTTTTGGCTTGGAAAATGGAGGAAAATAGATTATGCACTTACGTTATTGAGATCGTATACCACTCCGCTGGTTTATACGTGTCCCACATTTTGAAATACCGTTGGAAGGCATCTAAAAAAATCATTATATTCTAATTTATTTTTATTTTTGTTTTATTGCGCATAGTTGATTGTTTTCTTCCAGAAAATATACAAAAGATCACACGAAAAACATCTTGTTTTCGAAATGTTCTAATGCTGTTCAAATAGCAATATTTAATGAAAAATCTGCGTAAACATCAGAGGGGAGGATATCACGCATTATACTCGCGTTTTTCTAATCGTTCGTGATGGTTCGCACGTAGTTTATACTCGCGGTTCGATTTGAATCTAGATAAACCCACGTACACCTTTGGTCCGATTGTTATTATTTCATCCTTAATGTACGACGTGGACGAATATGTACCTCAATAAAATGAGACCTCAAACAAGTCATTCATATATTACTTATAAAAGTCTATTCGTCTCCCTTCCTTCTTGCGGGTGTGTGGTGGGGCTAAAAACTTTTCAAGTCATTAAAAGCACATGCACATGCACGGAGCATAAACAATATCACAATACTTAGCCTGTGAAAGGACCAACGGGTCACACGGCATTGATTTTACGTCTCTGGTTAGGATATTTCTGTGTTGATATATCCGTTAAGCAAGGCAACAACTTACATGCTTTGTGAATCGCATATCCTGATCTAAGGTTAGTCCTAGATTTTTAAAAGTTTCATAGAATTTAACTGGCTCACCCTGTATTAAAATATCCAGTTTGTGCGTATTTTCAAAATCTTTTATCTCAATCTTCCTGCCAAATATTATAACAGCCGACATTTTTATTGTCACTTCTTTTCTCTTTTCATTCTATAAGTGTTTAATTATTATTATTATTTTTTAGTCTGGCGATTTGTGACCGACATCAGTCCGTTTCTTTTGGCTGTATTTTAATGAATGTTCACAAACATGAAACAGAAACAGAAACTATGGGCGTTCTTGTCGACGGTCAATTTCATAAAGGTTGAGAAGCTGGAATTAAAATCCAATCATTGTTACACACCGTAATGGATAATTACGGGCCATATTGTTTACTTACTATATGGTAATAATTAGCAAGAATCGACTTAATGATATTTAACCGGCCGTTTCGCAATAATTTTATAATTGTTGGGCAACGCGCGCGATGAAGTCATTTGGTTTATTTATGATCTTGGGCTGTAGGTGGATTATTTTGCAATTACGTGGCGGCTGTTATTCGAGCCGAGCGATATACCAGGTGTTCGCCTGAAATTTCGTCCGATATTCGGGTCGCCCCGTGCGGTGCGGGTTCTTTTCCATTAAAATCGCACGCCACGGCGCCATAAATCATACTTAAACGGACAAGATTTACACACCCCCTCGTCCCCCCTAATTAGTCAATTAGGCGCGCGAACAACACCGGGCGGACGTTTCGAGTGTATTTAACTGTCGTGACTATAACGTAGACGAGCGAAAACAAATTTTATTTTCCATGAGTCCGCGTGCCGCACGAACAGCCATTTGCGTCGACGTTTCGACCTCTGTCTCGCTGTCTCATTAGACATGCGTTGCTATAGATAAACTCAGAAGCACCCTCTTTAAAGGGGAAAAAATTGATCAATTTGCTTTAAAATGACGCAATATTTTGATAATTATTAAAATTATTAATATGTTGGGTCTAATTATGTATATTTTGAACGAATTACAGAAAAAAACAGCTGCACGAGGTCCAATTTCTTGATTGATAATTAGAAAACATTCATTAAGTTTAATCAATATTGTTTAGTAACAAACGTCATAGACCACCGAAGGAAGAGTATTGATGGTAAGACTGTACAAAAAAAACAGGTTCTTGCTAAATATACACAACTGGGACATCAACTGACTTAGAAATTTTATAATCCGGACTGCATTGGTTTATACTCTGTTTTTTAATGCGAACTGTAAATCTTATGATAATGTCAAAGCTCCGGCACAGGTATGTGCCGGAGCTTTGACATTAAAAAAAAACTTTTAAAATTGTAGTTCTAGTTAAAAATGAGTAAATTACTATTCTTAATGTGGTCGAAGCTTTTCGCCACCAAAACTCAACATTTGGAATTGCAAAAATAGTTGAAATGTGTCCGGGGCTGGACCGACTGTTGCTCAGTCTTCATAATTAAAAGTTTTTCTTCTCTGATTTTATTTATCTTATACTTGATATTCTGTCAGTCTACCTGCTAAAACTGACAAAAGTATGGAATCTCCACCATCAGAGGATACGTCAAACTAAGGTAAGAGCTTCTTGTTCCATTAACTCATTCCAGGCTTCATCTAGTGCCATTATCATCTCTCGTTAAATCCTCAGGATTGCCTGGTGCGTTTTTTAAAATTAGAAGCTGTTTTTAAGGCAAATTTAACTCCGCTAGTGTTTTCCTCACTGACGTCCTTCGGCCTTTTGTAACAAACTTGTATACACGAATTTGTAAAGGCTCTAGGTTTACTCAATTTTCCAACAACACACAATTTCACTTTGTGATTACCGGAAGCACTGATTTTTCGGCCAGGTGCAGATTGTGAGGTAACATTCTCCAAAATAACTCACAAATACTCAGTTGTCAATCTGTCTTTGAATTTTTCAAGCCAGCCAAAACTCGGTTAGGGTTTTTAATTTTGAGGGAACAGTTGACGATGGAAGAATTTAACTTTTTCACATATTATTAGACCTGCCAAAGGGGTGCCTGAAATAAAAAATACGTATGTTAATAATCATTAATAAACATTTTAAGATTTTGCAAATATAAATTTTATTGATTACGTTCATTCATTCAGTCATTCTTCAATACATAAAAATAAACTCATTTTTTTAATCCTAACTAAATAGATCCATACTGTACATACCGCGTGCTCTTTCCTGAAGAAAGCAGGTCTTCTCGATATCGTGGATTTTGCAAAACCATATTTATCAGCAATAGATCTAACATTTTTTAATGATTCAATTCGATTTGTTGTGTTGCAAATGAGAAGTAACCTGCTTGCTTTCAGAAATTGATCAACTTTAACTGTAATTGAAGGAGCAAGGCATAAGACCACTTTTAAAATGAGGGATGTTGAATCCCAAAAAGGAATAATAACAGTGTTTTGTGAAAAATGGAGTAAAATGGGCAATTGAATGATCAACGAATGATTTTCAAAAAATAATAATAGTTATTTACATTTGTCTATTTTGATATTATTGTTACTTCTATGCAAGTTTTCATTTACTTCGACAAGTCAACATTTAAACAGAAATATTAATAATGTTTCATTTCATTTGGTATACATTTACCAAAAATTTCTTAAATATGTTTATCAGTAGTGTTTGAAAAATTTTAGTTTTAAAATATTTTAGGAAGTTTTTTATTTTATTTATTAAATTATTTATGCATGAAACAATATTATATGAAAAGGAGCATTTAACTGTTTCAGTTGCATGCATTGGCGGAGTCAAGGTTTTCGTAAATGCTATGTCAGAATATCATTTTGCTATCGCAGTGACGTACATATCAGAGCGATGGCTTGTTTTATTAAAGAAGTGTGGAGTAGATTTTATATTCTGCATTTTTGCATACAGACATATTCTAGTTTTCATATTTAACGGATTAACTTTCGAATCCTAAAAACATTTCAGGAACCTGTCAATATTTAATGTTGAAAACCGTGCTGTGTAAGAAAACGCACTACTATAGACCACTGTCGTAAATAAAAAAGTTATCGGCAATTTTCAATACGGCCGAAATTTGGTGACTTGCTTGTTGTTAATTTACCAGTCAAAACTCCTGCTTTAGAAATAGTTTTTTTCTTTGGAAGCAAGCGTGTGGTATACCACGACCAGAAATATTGTGTTTTTACAACCAACCCCATGATTAACTTTGCGTACTGTTTATTACTCCAAAACCGCAACCCCTTATAGAACACCCTGCCGAACATAACCTTACCCGTAACCATTCTAGGACCGTCCTAGGAATTTATCTACCTACACCATTAAGCGGGATATAAGTATGTTTTCAATCTTTTTCGCCGAGTAATTCTTGAAACATGCACATAAAAAAATTAATAAATAGTAAAAATTTATTACCTTCTATTTCGTTACATTTCTACATGGGATCATTATTAATATACAAAATATTAAATATAATATTAATAAATCAGTCACTTAAAAAATAATCTCAATAAATATTTTCTTCTTTTATTACTCGTTTTTCACAGTTAGACCAGCTTTTTACTGATATTTTAGCTACCTCTTGCCGAATTTTTTTTCAAATAAAAATTTAAAGTTTCTAGAAATATTCGTTACGGTCCATCTCAGGGAAGACCTACTTAATGCAGAATAAACATCTGTTCGAATGAGTTTTACCATGGTCCTGCGAAGGTTTGCGGTTAAGGTAAAATACATAAAACGTCAACGCAATAAATGCACTATATTTTTGGTGGTACAATAATAATTTTTATTTTAAAAGTGTTTTCTTAAAATCGGCGGTGCAAAACCAATAGGGGACGCTCAACTTGAATCGCCCTGTGTTTAATCGGCGTCCGTTGCTTGGGTTTATTATCGCAACGTTCAGGACATCCTAAACTAACAATAATTTACGAGTCCCGGTATAGGTGAATGTTTCCGCAAACGACCCAACCTTTCCCAACGCTCTCGCAATATTAGTAAATGTTTATAAATAAATATCCCTTTCGTCCCAGTTTTAAGAATCTATTTATAAGGCGGTGCCGCCGTCTGGAAAACGCAACTCGTAAACGAAATTTTTGGTGGCTTTAATATCGATGCGTGTGTAAAGTGTGTCTCGAATTATATCGTCTTGGCTTTTGACGGACCCTCTCCAAAAAGTAATTACTTCATACCTATTGTTACTGAGTAAACCCAATAACCAATAAATTTGCATGTGGGGATAAGAATCAGGTGGATATCGATCGACCACGTGCCTGCTGATATCAGTGACAGTGTTGAATAATACGTGTCTGTCACTAATTTTTCCGTTGTCTTTGGATGCAAAACAAAGTGTGAACAAAAAGCTTTAAATAAACCCAACCACCATAAATGATAATGGCTGTGACAATGCTATAAACTAATAAATCAATTATACATATAAATACATATTAAATAACATTCGTTGTCAGAAAAGTTTGAATCTGTACTATCACTATCATACAAGGATATAAGCAATGGTTTTACTTTGTCCCAATTCTTTTTACAATAATTTTCCACTTACCACTTTTTCAAATCGTAGTGATAAGAAGGGGTATATTACCGGATTTTTTTATGACCATATCTAGGATTTAGTTTAGTCTTTATATTTTTAAAACGCCTTATGCTCTGTCCTGCGATACCGACTGGCCAGGTGTTTGATTTTCGTCGTCAGTTTGTTCGTAATTGCCATCAACAGTCAAGACACGCTTTTTATTTTTCAAATTAGGAATTTTGAAAAAGTATTAGTATTACTATAAAAAACAAATAAAAAAATAAAATTACACTCACAAATGGTAAAAATATCTAACTATGTATCACGGGAGGAACCAAAAGATTTGGAAGTATTAAGCTTCGTGTCCGGGGTTTTGGGAAATTGAGTTCTGAAACTTGGTTGAAAGATTCAAAGTGGTAAAATAAGTAAATAAGTCATGTAACAAAAATTCGAAATCGTAATATTTTTCGAGTTATGGCTTGTCAAAAATCATTTTTTCAAAATTTTATTTTTAACTCAGTGGGCTTGATTCTCAACGAAATAAGCTGCTATTCTACACACAGTCCCGATTTAGTAAATATCAAGTGTTTGAGAAATCTGTCACTAGAGGGCACTTTACCTACAACTTGTTTTTTATTTTCCTATACCTATATTCCCATACCTCTTCCAGCAAAGGTGGTAGTTCCTCTTGGAGAAATTGCAAATATATTTCCCCATTAAGCGATCCGTTAAAGAAATGAGGTCCTATAATATTATCTCCTATAATCCCTACCCATACATTTAAAGAAAATGTTCCACTGATGCACGACTGAAAGCACCCTCGTTGGTGAACAAAATGACATTTAAGAATTGCGAGTAATTTTGAATTTTTCCTAAAATTTGATTGTATAAAATAACTCTCAATTGCTCATTACCATCATACAGTGCTTGAACCCTCTGAACTTGAAAGGGTCGAAGATCGTTTTCATGCCAAACTTCCCAAACTTTCCCGCGCAGCAAGTTTTCTCTTACTCGTTGGTGCTATTGGGATAACCCTCGATATGAAGCCTTCGAGCTTGATCTGTATTTCCATAACAAAATGCTCTTCCTTAGCAAAAATGCATATCGCGATATTCAGTATTTGAATATTCCTGATGGGCCATCACAGTGGCAGTTGGATAATAAACTCTTTAATAGAAACTAATTTTTAACGGATTGCGACAATGACTTTTTCAAATTCGAGTCGAGACTAAAAAAGTCGATTTGTGGTGAAACGATAACACTTATCGACTTAAAACAAGAGCAACATTTTTTGAGGATTTGTGATTCTGCTTAAGGCAATCTGTTCTATTTTGCAATATCAGTCTAAATAAGTGTAATCCAGGGAAGATAAAAAATGTTCTAGGAAAAGTGCCCTCTAGTGGTAGATTTCTGAAACACTTTTATTTTGTAAAGATGATTTTTACCATATACAATTTCTGAACATCCTGTATAGTGCCATCCGGTGGGGTTCGGCACGTAAATGGTCGTGGGTGACTGTGTATGTGTGACGCGAGAAAGTACGTAATTTGTGGTCGTCTGGCGGCTGATCGCTGTGACGCAACTTTATTTTTAACTCCTTTTATGGAAATTGAACGATCCCGGACAAGGTTAAGTGACGACCGACCATTTAAAATGCAGTTTTGCGGTCGAAATGACGCCCGGGCGACAAAAGCGACCCGAAATTCGATATCATTTAGTACTTACGCTGCGATTGCGACATCAGCAAAAGTATCGCGTTTTGCTGTGCCCGCCGACCATGGAATGAAGTAACGCCAAACGCCACGAAGTAGTTCGGAACGAATCGATTTACGGTCTCACCGGTCGAAACAATAAGGAAATCATAAAGCGTACCGCATTATTTATTTAAAAAAATCGCGGAATTCAAAATAAATCCAAAAATCATGCGTATCGATAATATGCCGAAATCGAAAATAGCCGCCAAAATTGCACTTTAGCCACGATGCAATTTCTGCAATTAATATTGCAACATGTATTAACAAATTTTTTTTTAAATCGATGAAAAATGTACATAACGGTCGAAATCACGAGAGATGACTATTAAAAGTGTAAATAAATGTAATTAGTATAAACACTTTAGGAAAGTTAAGTATTTAGGTTTCACCTTTTTTACCTCTTTAGTTAACCAAAACTATGAGATCCTAAATATCGTACAGCAAAAATGATAAGTGGAAAAGTGTTCGGGATTGGAAAATCGATTGTCACGTGGTTTTTCCCTTATTCTCAAGAAAAAACCGTGTATCCTAGTGTGAATTAAATATAATTAATATATAAATATGTAAATATATAGAATATAAAGAATATTATTGGTATAAATTGAACTGAGGTGGCTTTTACTCGATGAAAATCCATTTAACACAATAAATAAGAACTAAACGTTCAGATTTTCACGAAATTATATATATTCACATGACAATTGTTTCGACCACACCGTGTCTTTATCAAATATGACATGAGAATGTATATAATTTCGTGAAAATCTGAACTTTTAGTTCTTATTTATTTTTATAATTGGTATACCGGACTTTATTCAGCATTTCAAACAATGATTTCTCTTGCTTTTAGTTTTAATAAACGCGCGAACACTAAAAACTCTGCTTATATTATTGTATTAATTATCCAAAGTTAAAAAGCAACCTTTATAAACATCTAAATAATCAAGCATTCAAATTGCATCGTATCTTCGGGCCTTTACAAACAAATAACGAATTAAACATTTCATTCTGCTAGGTTTATTTGAAAAATACGTATTAATTACCTGCCCTTTGTTCTTTTTTTTTCTAAACAGCGATATCCCCACACTTAACTCATTGTCTCAGAACATTTGTCCAGATCTAGGCATATGACGATCTGTCGGCGGCCATGTTGGTTGTGGAAAGTCGGATTGGTGGAAAACGAAACTATAAATCTCGCGCATGCGCTTGTTGTATGGACCTTCTCAAAAAATTGTAGTTGCTTCATAAGTTGTTGTATTATCGGCCTAGCGATATGGTTAAGACGTAATACTTAGCTTGAAAAATTTTATCCTTTGGGCATTTAATCTTGTTCTAGTTCTGAAGATCCATTCCGCCTTGCTTAAAAAAAAACGTTTTTTTTAAGAATCGAGTCAATCGAATTTTGGAGTGGAGCACTTTTTTAAAGAAAATTGAGGAATTTTCCTAAGAACCTAAAACCCTGAAAATAATACATCTTAAAAAAGTTCAGAAAATAAAAAATCGTCTGAAAAAATTGCTTAAATATAAGCGTCTTCAGTCGTCATCATTAACGAACCAAAAGTCACCGTTAATGGTGACGTGAAACGTCGCCGTTGACATTTGGCGCGAAATTCCCGATCGATATGGTTCCAGTGGTGAGCGGCATGCTGTTTCCCATCTTGTGGTTCCTCGAGTATGTTCCCGGCGGCTTTCGGTTCCTGGTCGCGATCTTCGTCTTCACGAAAATCTTCAAAGACGTGAGTAACCACACGCAGCACGCGGGTATACTGAAGAACGCCGCCGAAACGGTGGAAAACTCGTCAAAACTCCGCGGGAAGAAACGACAGTCGAGGGCCCGCCACTGAAATCACCTTTTAAAAATGTGTCCGTTTTCCGATTAAAACATGTGGTCCGAATTTTTGAGGTTTAAATTTCTCGCCCGGACATACGCCTAAAGTTACAGGCAACACGTTATTCTGCGATCGTTCTGTATCATCGTCTTGTGATTAAACAGCTAAAATGTGTGCGTTATTTTTGCAGTTGGACAACATCAACCTATGCCTTGGCTCGTTGCGAGCGCAGCACGTCGCCGGCGTCGAGAGCGTCACGGCGCAAGAGTTGCGTGATGGCAAACTGAAGGCGATCCTCGCGCTCTTCTTCGCCCTCTCGCGGCACAAACAAGCGACTAAGGCGCGGGCGCAAGTGGAAATGACACCGAACAGGTAGGCAACCGTACATACCGCTGCGACGAGACCCGCTATGTTCGGTCCCGGCGGGAGTTTTCCTTGGCGAAGAGTTTTTTTTTTTTAATTAAACGCGGATAGTACATTACTGAGGGTTATTCAAAAATATGGCAACGGCCATATACTTCAGAGAGTGTAACCGGACTTTTTAGCTACAGCTACGCTTGATCCTATAATTATATGAACAATGATGCCAAGTCTTCCTCCTAGAAGTCGGAGCTTTCTTATTTTAACTGAAAAAGCTACGTTTTTATTTTATTTCTATGTCGTCTGCATCTCCAAAGCATTTTTCTTCATTTAGGATAGAAATTTTTGATCCCTAAGAAAATAAACTATTAAAAACCAGCATATAAGACCCTTAATTTGTTAAGTTAATGTTCATCTATGAAAGAAAAATTTTATTAAACCAAATATCAGCAATATAGGCATACAATTTACAGTTTTATTTGAAAGAATAAATGTGTTTTGTTTTTCTGATATTTAATTTACTGAGTCCTAGGCGTATGCGTCTGAATTTTGAACTTTAATTTTTTTGATAATAATTTTTTTTAATGCATTTGTCCGAAGAACAGGCCACGGTAAAAAAAAGAAAGGAAAGAAACAAGAAAATAATTAGAAAAATTTTCAAACACGGGAGCATTTTTGGTCGAAAAGGAGCAAAACCTAAAAGCCAGCGTTTTCCCTCTAAAAAACGACGTTTGCTAAGTAATAAGTATATAATAAGTTGAATGATTAAAAACAGTTAACTTACCGTCTCCGCTAAAGTCATACTTTCTGTTTTCTTCTTGGCTTTTATTCCATAGAATATTCAATTTAAAAAAATAATTTTTTAATATATATAATGACAGTTTGCAGTGCTGAATGGAAATGATGTATTCCCATTAAAAATCAGATTTCTATCAGTTATATTTCTTGGGATTTCAGAAGCGTTCGTTTCCGGCCTATTTATTATAGCATGGGCCTAAACGATACCGATTTTCGCGGGGTAGGTTCTTGACGCATTGGTGGAGGCGCCATAACTCTAGTTTTTTGAGCAATTTTTTTGTAGCATTGTGGTTAATTAATCTACTAATTCCTATTTAGCGAACAAAGTTCTGTTTCGGTGGATGCGCTCAAATTTTAGCGAGTTAACAGTTTTTGTTGGAAAGATATTCCCTAAAAATTTTTTCTCTATATTTCTTTTAAATATATATCGGCCAAAATTTAGGATAACATTTATATATCTGGCGCGTAATCAATATTAAATTGGCATTAAATTTATATTGGGTTCTCTTAATCCGGCAGTGTTTAATAATTAACATTTAAAGTAAATTGAACTTTAATTCATAACATTCAAGATGAACCAAAAGTTTCTTTCTGGAGTTAATTCATCACTTAGAAAGGAAATTCCATTTTAATCCGATATAAACTCGTTATGCCGATTGATTTAAAGTAGTTCTTGAAGATATTGGAGGGTAAAAATGGACAAGACTGACCCGTAAGTTTATCCAATTCATATTCTAAGGACTAGCTGACATTAGAATAAAGGATAAACGGAACAGTCCGTGGAAATACAAATTTCACAAATGTCAACACGCACACGCGGCAATTGGAGTAAGTTTTCTCGTAAGAACGCGCCAAGTTTCTTACAAATTCTGCCCCCCAGCCGCGTAATTAACGAGAGAGCTTCGCGTGGGGATGGAAGAAATTTCCCCAACAAACGCCCGACTCAGCTAATCATAATTTGTCGTCCCCGGAGATAAATAAATAATACTTAACGACCTCCCTGCGTACCCTGGGGGGAGATCGTGCTTTTGCAAAGGGTACGGACGCCCCTACACTCGGTCATCGTTAAGCAATACATTTGAATGTCTCATTTTGTTAATCTCCATGGCTTCCAATAAAATTCTACTTTTTGTGGCTGTATGTAAAATATCAAAATTGTCGTCAAAAATGTGTTATTCTGTGTTTAAGTTAATTAAGGTTTTATTGTCATTTTTCGGTATATATAGTAGCAGGTAGTTTGTAAATATTACATTTGATAAAGACCCGGTGTTGTCGAAACAATTGCCATGTAATTATATATAATTTCGTGAAAATCTGAACTTTTAGTCCTTATTTATTTTGATTTGGGCTTAGGTTGGGACACGAAACGTGGTTGGTTAGTTGAATTGCAGCCATTTGTTCCAAATGTTTACCTGAATTTTCTAAATCATTGGCAAACAAGACATTTTACATGTCGACTAAGAGAATCGATTTTGAAATACGAAAAGGCGATTCGTACTTTTTATAAATTTGCCCAGTTCGAATCTTGGTTACCATAAAATGACTTATCAGATTCTAATTTCATTTGCTGCAGTCCGGGACCGGAAAACTTTTTATTTCGTTGGGTCGTTTGCGCCTGACGTGAGGTTTGGGTTGGCGGCATCGTCATCAGCGCGGATTTTTGTTGGGGATAATTAGCCACCAATCGGGTTTAACAGCGATTTTGACGATATTTTAAAGCATTTTCTTTCGAGTTTGGGACTCGGGATTTCGTAACGCGATTATTTTATTCGCGAGCCCCATAATTACGGTTTAAGATATTTATACGCTTAATCCCACACCAAGAAAAACGGCCGTCGTGGCCAGAGAAAGAACAAGATGATATTCCTGAAAAAAAAAGAGTAAATTTTACCCCGAGCACGATTTTAAGATTTGTATTCCCTAAAAATTTCTTTGTAAACTTCAAACCAGTATCGAGGAATAGAAACGAAAAAATTTTTATTAGCATTTTCGCCATTGAACGTTAATACCGCTGCTTTTTAGATGTAACGCTATTAAAATTCATAATAAGATCCTCCTAAAATGTTACAGCGTATCCATCTGCTCAGTCATTTAAGCATAATCTAAAAAAAATACTGTTAATACGAATGGAGTCTCTTGATTAAATATATCGATATATACAAGACCTGCTTTGTCCTAGTAATTAATTGATATTTATTATCATATATTCTTCTTTATTGTTGAATCATAATTCTCATAATGGGTTATGTCAAGCGGTTAGATGAGTAGCTATGCTGGATATCGTCACCAAGAATCTTTGTTTGCTGTGTGATATATCTCCTAAATGATTTGAGTTGAAATGTTGAAACATGATTTTGATAGTCAACTGATTAATCGTAATTAATCGTTCATATCGTATCTGTTCCAAGTTATTTATTTAATTTATTTAATTGTTGGTTTATTTCTAACACTATTATTATAGAAAGTGACGTTTCGGGGATCATCCTGGTGGCTTCTTCAGAACTTAACTCTTCAACAGTTTCAATTAAACTCTGGACGTCGGCAAGTTTCATTGATAACTGACTTAAATTATACAGGGTGTTTAAAAAAGACGTAGCAATATTAAAGGGGGTGTTCCTCAGATCATTTTATGAATGCATTGTTTGTAAAGTTTTTTTTTTATAATGTTTAATAAATTAATTCAAATATCTTCTCACGGATTTGTTTGAAATTTGTTGTTTCTGGTGATAAGGGGCTGATTTGGCCCTAATTAAGAAAAAAATAAAGTAAATGTATATATAGTTAAAGGATCTAAAATAAATTTTAGGACATGTGCTTAGTCTACGATTATCGCCCCTCATTTTAATTATTGTTGTTAATTATTAATTTCTTGTACTCAGGAAAACGTATTTAAGCTATAAGTGCAATAAAATAAAGGAATGAGGGTGATACTTAATTTTATAAGCAAGGCAATGATCTTTATAACGGTTGAACAATATTAAACGTTAATATATAAGATTGATAATATAAAAAATAGACAGCAACGGACATATTTAAATGCGATTTTTGCAAAAAGGTCTAATTTACATGTTTGCTGGGCAAATCTAAAATATTAACGTACGGTTTCACTGCAGAAATGGTATTTTTCAAAGGGGTTGGTTTGTTTAAGGTAGGCATCGTTACTTGTTACTTTTTGTTCTGATCCTTGGAGCAAGGAAGCCTACTTCAAAAATTAACCAAAATTTTTTTTTTTCGTTTTTCTTCTAATGATTATAAATTCTGGTTATTTGTACATTTTTTTGCATTTTGCGTAATACCAAGTGTACAATGGACCGCTCCAAAATGCTAAAAAGAAGCTATTCCATATTATTAGAACCGAGACATAATTAATTTATTGAAAGTGTTATTTTTTTGGATAATTCGATGGATTTTGCCTAAAGCCTAGAGTTTTAGAAAATCTTATAAATACCAGTAACAAATTTTTAATCGTTAGAAAAATAATTACTAATCAGTAACGTTTTTTTTTATTAATATACATTTAATAAATAATTTTTAAATTATTAAAATTGGGGTAGATTTAGTTAAAATTAGCCAAAAATAAATTGACCTGATTCTTAAGAGCCACAAAAAATAATAAATAGCTTGCCCCCCTCCCCTACTTATTTTATTTTAACAGTCTCAGATATTAGTTGTCACGCCCACAAGCTGTTGTCTAAATAACTGAATAAATTTTGTGAAAGTTTGACCAAGCCCATCCCTTGCAATCTCAATCTTCTCCAGAGCTACCTTAAAATCTGTATTGTTATTGCGATTTGTCCCCATTTCTATCATTCGTGACAAACAAAATATAGATCTCTCCATATCGGGTGAAAATTTTCCTGTTTTTCTATAATACTGAATTTTAACGTTTTACATTTACATTTAACTTTTTTATTGCATAATATTCTCACAAAAGTTACCTTCACTTCTCATTGAGGCGCCGAGGGGTTCGGTAGGGGTGTTGGGGGTTATGGTTAGCGCCCCTTTTTGCGTATTTCGTTTTATAACGTTAAAGTGATTGGGATTTACGGAAACTCCATAAAGCTCGCTTATCTAGCGCGGCAGCAGAAGGCACCGATCCCCCTATATTACCATAGCAGGGCGCGTCGGAGCGGATCGTTTGGGGCACTTGGTTTTCCAGGGACGCCTCGCCGCGTTTATTGCCAAACTTTGGATGTTTTTTCCTGCGCGCTCCC